TGAGCATGTTGCAAGCTTCCGACAGCTGAAGCATATGGAACCACTTTCACTTTATCAATTGAGCTCATATTGGTTCCTGGGGCATTGAAAATCCCCATATCTGTCGCCCTTGACTATAGGAGCAGGTGAGGGACTACATTTGTGCATACTGGATTTCTTTAAGATATTTTCCATGTATGCCTTTTGTGACAGTCCTTATACCCTTTTTCTTCTATCTCGGTGAATCTCGATCCCTAGAACGAACGAGGCTTCGCCAAGATCTTTCATATCAAATTTCTTTGTCTCCAGTAGTAGACTGACATCACTACTAGCAAGTAAGATATCATCTACATATACAGGACAAGGAAGATAAACTTCCCATTCTTAAACTTTGTATTGACACAATTGTCCTCTACATTCTCTTTACTTTGTATAGACACAATTGTCCTCTACATTGTCTTTAAAACTCAAAATCCTTTATTGTCTAATCAAACTTCAAGTACTACTGTCTTAAAACTTGTTTTAATCTATAAATAGATTTCTTTAGGCGGCATTCCATTCGTTCTTTTCCTTCCATGACAAAACCTATCGGTTGTGCCATGTAAACATTTTCCTCCAATTCTCCGTTGAGAAATGCCGTCTTTACATCCATCAGATGTAATTCTCAATCATAATGTGCCACTAATGCCATTATGATTCTGAAGGAAACATTACATGAGACTAGAGAAAAGGTCTCATTGTAATCAATCCATTCTCTTTGCATATAGCCGTTTGCCACAAGTCGCATTTTATATTTCTCTATATTCCCTTGAGAGTCAAGTTTTGTTTTATAGACCCATTTACAACCTACTGTTTTGGCTTCTTTAGGAATTATTTCTAAATCCCAAACTTTATTGGCATTCATCGATTTTATTTCATCTTCCATGGCCTCAAGCCACTTTGATGAATGATCACTTCTCATGTCTTCTTCAAATGAGGTGGAATCATCCTCCATTTGAAATTGCTCAGTGTTGTACACTTCATAATCAGCAGGAATAGCTGATTTTCTAACTCTTTGAGACCTTCTAGGGGCCTCCACGTTTGGCACATCTTCTGTTTGAGGCTGTTGTTGCTCCCCCTCATGTGTGGCAATAGGTTCTATAGGATCCTGAAGAACAGGTTCCTCATCGTCATTCATTGTTGCCACAGGTGGGATAACAACAGGTGCTGGCACCACAGTACCTAGCACTGTCAGTGCAGCGACAGCAGTAGTGAGAAAATTGGCTCATGAATTATTGGAGTGGGCAAATACACCCGCTTCACTTCAAGGTCAATTTCTCGAGCTACCACGCTTCCCCTCATCAATTCGTCCTCTAGGAAGACAGCGTGTCTCGTTTCCACAAACTTTGTATGTCTCTCTAGACAGTAGAAACGAAAACCTATTGACTTTTTGGGTAGCCAATGAAATGGCAACTTACTGTTTTGGGAACTAGCTTCCCAATGTTTGGGTTAAATACTTTAGCCTCAGTAGGGCTCCCCCACACACACGCAAGTGGTTTAGTGAAGATACTCTTTCTGTCCACAACTCATACGGTGTTTTGGGCACCGACTTTCTTGATACTCTATTGAGAATATGAATGACGGTTTTTAACGTCTCCATCCACAGGCTTAACTGTAAGGTGGAGTAACTTATCATACTGCCCACCATATCCATCAGGGTATGATTAATTATTTTAGCTACTCTATTCTGCTGAGGTTCGCCCGGTGTAGAATACTGGGCTACTATGCCATTCTTTTAGGGTATGCCGACCGTAGTACTCCCCCATGGTCAGACCTGACTATCTCAATCTTTAATATCTTAAATTTATCCAATACATCTTTTCTTTCTTTGATTGGATAAATATAGCCATAATGGAAGTAATCATTTGTGAATATCATGAACGAATCATAACCATCCACACTCTTTACAGGAAAGCTGACCATAGATGTCTGTGTGAATAATCTGTAAAATTCCTACGCTTCATTTGTCATCTTTCTTTACATACTTTCCTTTTATGCATTCTGAGAGCTCTAATGGAGGAAGAATATCATTCTTAACTTTTCTTTCTATTCTTCCCCTCGAAATATGGCCTAAATGACAGTGTCATAATTTCGACGATGCATCGTGAGCTCTCTTATGCCATTCTTTCATCAGAGTAACACTTTGTCACTAGTTGCTCTATCAGCTGGGTAGCATGTCTTTGAAGAGCCAGTGAACTGACTCTTTATTCTATCGAGGTACTCGGTGACCGTGTCACACTCTGGAATTGAGCCCACAATTGCAGGTTCAATCATGTTCTTTATCACAGCCAAACATTTCTTATTGGTAGTGACCCACTTCCTATGCACAAAAGTCATAGGACTATCTTTTGGGATTCAAAATCCCTCTCTTTAGTTGCCCAAGTGGCATCATTCTCTTTTGTCTCCCTCACCGGTGCCATAGAATCAGTGGGACACGGTGAGGTGACTACCCAGTTCACCTTAGCCAAGATGAAAACCAGGTCAACTCTTTTCTTAACATAAAATTAACACCACTTGCATGCCTTGATTTCAACGTTGGTCAAAATCAAAACATACAACTGTTCGTATACACTAATTCTACATCACCATTGGGCAGAAATAAAATTAATGCATAAATCATTAACTTTCACAACTGTTCTTACACACTAATTCTACATCACCGTTGGGCAGAAATAGAATTAATGCATAAATTATTAACATTATCAACTTTTCTTATACACTAATTCTACATCACCGTTGGGCAGAAGTAAAATTAATGCATAAATCATTAAAATCATGATATTGTTATTAACAACGTTGGTCAGAAAATAACAACATCATAATCATGTCAAATCTCTTTTTCTCCAATTAAATACCACATTGGTTCAAAATAACAGGAGAATCAACAACTTTTCTTTGGCTGTGGAAAAACTCTCTTTTTCTTGAATTTTACCCACATGGAAAATTGCTTTTTCTATTTCCTTTAGTCCATTAATCAATTTCCAGGAAATAAACCTTTACTGGAAAACCTTTCTTTTTCTCTAGTTAAATATCACATCGGTTCAAAATCACTGGAGAATATACTTTTTCTTTAGCAGCGGAAAAACGTATACTCAGTTTCTTCTTTTCTATTTTTCTTTTTGCCATTTATTCATTTTTCAGGAAATAAAAACTTTACTGGAAAATGAAAAACCAAAAAAACTGATTGATTCTTTCTCACTGTTCTTTGATTGGGCTGGAACTGCCACAATGGCCCGGCCCATCACTGCCTTTCACTCTCGCGCGCGTGCGCCGCGCTGACCCAGGCCGCAACCTGGGCCTGGGTCGACAAAGTAGCCCGGTGTGCCCTCGCCCGCCTGGGCCGAGAGCGCCCGATCAATCGGTGCCATTGATTCCAATCGGACGCCCGAGCGGGCGTTTCGGCCGGTCAAAAACCCAGTGCCGCTCGACCCCCCGCAACCCTAGCGCCATTCGCCCCCTGCCCTTCTCTCTCTTCGCTCTCAGTCTCTCTCTGTCGCCGCTCTCCTCTTCACTTCTCCTCAGCGCAAGGACAGGAGCCACCGAGAGCGAGACGGCGAGCGAGCGGACGGTGGATCGACCATGGCGTCGTCGCCGGCCCCCTCGCCGACGCGCGTGCTCCCCAACGGGTGAGCACGCCGCCGTCGAGCGGCCTGACCGCGTTGCCCCTTTGGCCGAGCTCTTCTTCTCCCGCGCCGGCGAAGGGACATCCCGATGCACGGCGAGGTAGATCCACCCCTTCCCCCCCCTTCGGATTTGGATCTCCTTTTCTCTTATCCGAACAAGGGTTCCTTTTCTTTCTTTTGATTCGACCGATTCGGTTTTTCCCTTTGGAGTTCATCCGAATCGAATCGGGATCTAGGGTTAGGGTTCGTGTGCCAACCCCTGTTCTTTTTCTCTTCTTTTGAATTTCCTTTCTTTTCTTTTCCCTTGTTTACCCGAAAAAGGGGGTCTAGGGTTAGGGTTCGGTTGAACCCGATTCAAGATTTGCGAGATTATCCCCTTCCCTTTTAGGGTTAGGGTTAGAGTTCTTGAGATTTCTTCTCTGTTCAGATCCGAAAAGAAGTCTTCGGTTCTTTTCTCTTGCCGTGCGCCGTCGAACGGTGCGACATCTTTTCCCCCGCTCGGTGGCGGTGGTGATCGGTAGACAGTGACGTCCGCCACCCCGGTCTCTCTTTCTTCTTTTACCCGGTTAGGGTTAGGGTTACACAGAGGCAACCTAGCTCTGGTACCATTGTTAGGATCGAATGTGTACCTCTCTGTGTGTAACCGTAGATGCGGTGAAGGCTCCTCGCCTTCTCAGTAGATGCACCACAACGGGGAGACGCCGGTGCTGTCGGCGTAGCAGCCGTCCAGCGCGGTGGAGACGATCACCAGTGGCGCTGTGGAGACCCTACAGAGGTAGCGGCGGTGGTGGGACATCCCGTCGCTGGCAGCATCTCTTTAGGATCGAATTAGGGTTTTCTGTAGGTGGGTGTGGTGGCTTCGGTCAACCTCGTAGCTCGAGCCGTGATCCCCACCACTCTTTTATTTGTGCTGTGCGACAGGGTCCACCAACCATATTAGGGTTGGGCTCCCCCGATCAGGGAGCAGATACAAGGACCCAATAGGCCGTTGGGCCTATTGGTGGAGATCAACTAACATATGTATGTCAGCTCCAATCGTTCGTGATTACATATGCCAATGCCACTAAGATTTGTGTTTGCAGCCTGGAGATTGTAATTACAGTTTACATCTCCACAATCTGCACTAACAACCAGAGATGTCAATAACAGAGAATTTCACCCACGTAATGATAATAGAGAAACAGATAAGGCACAACACGTTCACTTAAACATAGTAGAAACCAAGCTGCTGTATGGCAGCCTCATGTTTGCAACATAAACTAGAAGCTTAAAACACAAAACAATTTATAAAGACACATCCAGAACGACACCAGGGACACCACCAGATCAGTGAACCCACACGGACTAAACATAAACACTTCATTGGCCACCACGGAGGCGCAGCACCAGGTGAAGGGTAGACTCCTTCTGGATGTTGTAGTCCGCTAAGGTACGCCCATCCTCCAGTTGCTTGCCAGCAAAGATCAGGCGCTGCTGGTCAGGTGGGATGCCCTCCTTGTCCTGGATCTTCGCCTTCACGTTGTCAATAGTATCAGATGACTCAACCTCTAGGGTGATGGTCTTCCCAGTCAGGGTCTTCACAAAAATCTGCATGCCACCACGGAGGCGGAGAACCAAGTGAAGGGTAGACTCCTTCTGGATGTTGTAGTCGGCAAGAGTGCGGCCATCCTCAAGTTGCTTTCCAGCAAAGATGAGGCGCTGCTGGTCTGGTGGGATGCCCTCCTTGTCTTGAATCTTCGCCTTTACGTTGTCGATCGTGTCTGAGGACTCCACCTCCAGTGTGATGGTCTTTCCCGTCAAGGTCTTGACAAAGATTTGCATGCCACCCCTGAGCCTGAGCACGAGGTGGAGGGTAGACTCCTTCTGGATGTTATAGTCAGCAAGTGTCCGGCCATCCTCGAGTTGCTTGCCAGCAAAGATCAGACGTTGCTGATCCGGCGGGATTCCCTCCTTGTCCTGGATCTTTGCCTTGACATTGTCAATTGTATCTGAGGACTCAACCTCGAGGGTGATGGTCTTACCAGTGAGGGTCTTCACAAAGATCTGCATCTGCAGAGGCAAAAATCACATGGTAAGCTACAATAATAGGCGTAGAGAAACATAGTGCTCAGATAATAATGATTCAAGTCTTGACTCCGAAACAGAGGTAACAAAAAGAGAACACAGACATCTAAATTTGATGAACCATGAATTAGAACATACAACACTGCATCCATCCAGATTAGGAAGATGCATACCAACTGCCAATATGCTAATTACATTTATAATTAGCATGACGACTCAACATATACAAGCAGCAAATATAGAAAAAGGATTCAACATAAAAATCTGAAAGGGGTCAGCGGCTCAACAACAAATAAGTTCAGCAGTACTTCCCAAGATTCATGCATATCCTTCTGACTAAGGTGATCACAAACGGGTTAGATCTCACGTAAAATAGGCAGGGAAGACACTGGGCAAGATTTAAACATCTTAATTTTGAGCATACGATGATCAACCAATTGAATTGAAACCAAATAATACCTACAAGATTGCGTCCGAGACAACATGATAGGCATGATTTAACCTTCTCAATTTGATATCAATAATACACTAATTAATTTGTTCTAAAAAAATACACTAATTAATTTATCAAACTGAAACTTAATTCTAAGATATCTCCAGGATAGTGCTCTGTAGCAACACAATTGTAGTGATTTAACCTTGATTTAAATGATACACCGATCAATCTATTGAATTCAAACATAATTCTATGATATCTGCAGGATTACGCTCGAGACAACATGATAGGACTGATTTAGCCCTTTTAATAATTTTGATAATACACTAATCAACCTTTTGAAATGAACCCTAACTACTACATGATCTCTACATGATCTCGTTTCAGAAGAGAAAATAGCACCGTCCTTTATGGAAGGCAACAAGCAAACAATCAATCAAATCATAAGCGGTCTAGAATCTATTCAGCCTTGTATGAGCAATAAACATGTAGCTCGATCGGATCAGAAAAGATAACTGGATCAAGTTCATCCAATAAACGTAAAAGGGAACACACCAACAATCTAACAATTTTAGTACGGAGTGCGACATCGAGTTTCGAAAATCGACCATACAAGTTCGTTAAAAAAATCGACAATACACGCTTATGCGGAATCGAGATTAGAGAGAATCGACCCTACACGCTTAGGCAAACCGCTTAGACAAATCGAGAGAAGTTGACGAATCGAGGGAGCGTGTACCTTGACGAGACGATCGGTAGAGCCTTGTTTCCTTCGTCTGAGTGCCGATGGTGCGGAGAATTCGCGATTGGGATCGGGGGCGGCTGATGGATTGGGGAAACCGGAGGCCGGGTGTGGACTCTTATCGTGGGGAACGGAGGGGCCCACCTGGCGTGTTTCGGTTACGTCACGCCTCACGGGTCACGGCAACCAAATCGCGCTGCGAACAAGAGGCCGTGGCGGAATCCGGCCCCACAACGCAGCTCTCCTCCAACACCGATGACAGCAGGCCAGTTCCGTGATGGGCTTTTGAGGTCCAATTGTTTAAGAAGCTACTATACAGCCTAAGCGCGTGTTCAGTTCCACCCTAAATTTCAAAAAAGTGCTACAATATTTATCACATCGAATATTTGTAGCCTGTGTATGGAGCATTAAATGTAGATAAAAAAAACTAATTACACAGTTTGGTACAAAATTACGAGACGAATGTTTTAAGCCTAATTAGTCCATAATTAAACACTAATTGTCAAATAAAAACGAAAGTGCTACAGTAGCCACAAATTCCAACTTTTTAGAACTAAACACGCTTTAAAGTTGGGCTTCAGTACCTATCCTCCTCATTCCTCCTATAGAAAAAGGGAAAAAAGTCCAAAAAAGTTGTAGTAGTAGTCGTATTTTCACCTGGTTATTAATTATAAAAATAAATAATTTAAAATACCTCCATGTCGCTCCGTGATGTCCTTGATGGGCTTTTGAGGTCCGATTGTTTAAGAAGCTGTACAGTTCATTTTACTACTGTTGCTGAGTAGCTGGTTCAGAGTAGCCAGGCCTGAAGGCTGAAGAAAAACAAGACCCCGCTCCGCTCCGCTCCGGTTCTTCCCGCGTTCGCCCCTCACCTGCGGGATTCGGAATTCGAAATGAAGCCCCTACCCCCGGCGGGGAGCCCTCACCGGCGCGATACGCCGCCGTCGCTGCTCAGCCCATTCTCCCGCAGCGCGTTCCCCGCCGCCGCCGACGGCGACCATGACGCCGCCGTCTCCGAGCAGCCCTCGGTACGTACCCCCGGCCCGTCGCCCGACCTATGCTGCTAGGGCGTGTGTCGATTGTTTTCCTTTCCCCCCTCTTCCATTCTCCTTTATTGGCTGAGACGAGTGTGCGCTGACGCGATTTGGTGCTGCGCGCGCGCGTGGTCGCCTGCATTTCGGGTGTCTAGGTCATGCTGCTCGAGTGGTGGCTGGCAACCGTGGAAGGGGACGAGCAGAAGATAGCTGTCGCCGGTACATTCAGATGGTAAACATTTCTTCAGAGGGGATGGGGAAAATAGAGAGCCATCTTTGGAGGTCCGGGGTTGAGTGTGTGGCAACTAGTTTTGTTTGTTTTTCTGCGAGTTCGATCTTCTTGTTGAGAAATGGCCTTTGGAGTCCTCCTGGGTATGCTTCAGATTTGAAATTGCAAATTGATACCTAGATTGAGTTAATGCCATGCACTCCTAAAGAATAGGCCAATTTAATTTTCTCAGAACTGCTTACGGCATGCTTTTGTCAAATTGATTCGACAGTCCAATGTTTATCAATGTTTATGCCTTTTGTCCATACATATGATGGTGATTAACACCTTGACTGAAGCATGGTGAAACTTCTATATATCATGCTGCTTGTGTTTTTAAGCACGATTAAGGCTTGTTTGGCTGCACCCCAATCCACATGGGTTGGGAGGGATTGAAGTTGAAAATTGGTCCGAACCCATGTGGGATGGAGTGAATTGGAGTGCAGCCTAACAAGTCCTTGAGGTTTTCTGAAGTAGGCTGCTTTTCCTCTTGAAAGAGTGAGGGATTTTTCGCTGATAAAAATATTTATCTGTTGCCTGCTCTGACAGGAAGCAAATACTTCACGAACTCTATCCTGCACCTATTGCGAAACGTCATTCGGTTAATATTCTTGAGTCCGAAGATGGAACCGTACTTCTCATCAGTGGTTCGCTCAATGTTTCGCGATCGCTTGACAATGGATATTCAAATGCGGTATGCACATCCTCTTTTCTGTTTTTTGTTTCAGGTACCAGTTGTCTATTTGGAGAACTATTTAAGTGAATGCTGTATCGAGGAGCACATGTTATCATTTATTTTCTCCATCTATCCTGTTATTCTATTGCTGCGTTCCTTTGGCTGAAAGTTATTCTAGATATGCATGTCCAAAAGGATCATTCAGCCATGCACTGCTCTCACGAATGCCTTGGTCTTGACTGCAAACCATGCATGCAGGTCTGTAAACATTTCTTTGTTGGATTTCCACACTGGTGGCAAAGTTGCAACCTGCGTTATCCCAAGCGGACGAACTCGGACACAGGATGTCAACCATCTTCTTCTAACACCAGCAAACATCCTGACGGTTTAAAAAGTTCCTCACGCAATGAATCTGTGTTCCGAAAATCTTCACATTTATCGAATGGAACACCCAGATTTGAAGAACATACTTGTGATGGTGATATTGCAACAAATGAAAATGCTGCTGCCTCAAGTGAAGCTGGCAAAGGTAAGTTTAGAGGAGATTATTTAGAGCCTTCTATTTTCTTCTCTCCTAGAAATATTTCATTTCAGTGATGTTTCTTATAAAGTGTCTGCGTCTCCTAGAAATACATCATTTTGTTGGTGTTTCTAATAATGTCTATTTTTGTAATTTAGATCGCAAAAAAACTCCAGTGGCTTGTTTGAAGAATCAAGGTTCCTGGGGGGAAAATCAGCACGTACCTTCTAATAAGAAGGTAGTATTTGATCAAGAAATGCCCGCTTCAGCTTGTTCAGATGTCCAAGTCTCCATTGTGCAGCTGTTTATTCATGATGACATGTTCATATTTAGTGTATTTCAGCCTATTATCCTATTTCTGTTTGTGTTACTCATTTTATGTATAATGCATATAGATGAAGTTGACTGATCTGTGCCTTGGAAAGCAGCCTGTAGGCCAGCCAAAGAAACAAATATCTCCACATAAAAAGTGTCAAAGTGCTACAAAATCTCCAGGGACCAGGAGCCCAGATTCATATGTAAGTGAAATTTTTTATTCATTGTTGTCATGAACTTCAGAAAGTCCATGATTGCAAGCATTAGCATTTTACAGTTGTAACTTGATGATTTGATATAGATCTATAACACTCTCATTTGGTTTCTGGAATTGGACTGGATGAATTGTATTGAGGATCCAATTTGATTCCATGTGGTGTCAATTATTTGTTTGCCATGAATCGCGGCGCTGACCCTAGGGTCCATATTCTGAATAAGGTCGCCCAGGGGTATAAAGGTGAATATTTTTTCAAAAAAAGGGTTAAAAAACAAAAAAGTTGGCCTGGCCTCACTCTACTGGCTACCAGCTAGATTTGTTTGCCTCGCCCTTGCTGGATCCATGTCCAGTTCTGCTAACCAAATTAGCCTAAGGCCCCGTTTGGATCCTTGGAATTGAATTCATTCTAATAATTATAATTTAGGCACAGATTAATTAAGCTAATATGGTTGTATATGGAATATATTTGTATATTATTAGTAGCCATACAAGGGAGCAGTGGCGGAGCCTGGAGTAAAATATAGGGGGGGGGGGCATTTGCCAATTGAACCCATATGTATATAGGTGGTGGAGAAATTAATTTTGGTACTTATAATTAGGTCATAATATATAAAATACAATTGACAACAAAATAGTTGAGCAGAAAAAAAATTCTAAAAAAAGCAACATAAGAACTCCCAAAATGTTACTTAATCAGCCACTTCTAGTATGCATACTCTGTAGATTTTATACATTGAAGAGACAGAAAAAAAAAGATAGTAGAATCAACAAGACGACGCAGAGCAACATAAACAAAGGCAATAGGCTAATGGCTAAGCAGTGGGAACACAACTAAACGATTGCTGTGTCTGTGTGGCTGCTGTCCGGGCTGGGCCCCAGCCGGTCATTGGTAGGTATAGAACGCAGGACAGGGAGATATCAGACATGCAGGGACAGGGAGCGGAGTAGCAGAGACTTCAGAAAATCACAGAGGCAAGGGGGGCCGGAGCCCAGCTTGGCCGCCACGTAGCTCCGCCCATGCAAGGGAGATACTTATATGTTGCATTTCTATGGTAGAGAAGTGAGTTGAAGAGCATGCTATAACTATAAGTTGTAGAGTAGAAAAATAGCATAGTGATCTATATAATCAATTTCCATTTCCCACCCTATGAATTTGAGATAGGCTTATTTGTGAGCTTGGGAAAGTTTTGGAATGTTAAATTCCAAGCCAAATAGCCTAATACATTAAGTAGATTCCAATTCCTCCAAAATGAAGGGATCCAAACGGCCCCTAACTGTTTTTCTTGAGTTCGAGCTGTTGCAATCATGTTTCAAGTACAGATTTTGATGTATATTTGAAGTTAGCATTTTTATTTTGACCTCTTGTTGGAACAATTTATCTTGACTCTGTAGCATGAGACTGATTTATATGTGTATTTATTGCAATGTTCCTGAATCACATTAGGTCCTTTCGTCTCCGCTTACTCATGGTAAGGCCAGAGTGTTGTCTATGTCCACACCTGAAGATCTCAAACTTAAAAGAACCAGATCAGGCATGTCTTTGGTTGTTTTTTTGGCAACAATCTTTGGTTGTTTGACTCTGCTGCTTCATTCCAAGTACTCATTGTGCTAAAGAAATGGAAAATTTATTTCAGGTCGCGTAATAGTACCCAAATTGGATGAAGGGTGCCAAAGCATTGTCTATGGAAGGGTTTGTTTGTTTTCTCTATTTGTTATGTTGTTCAATCTTAGCTACTTTGTGGTATAAGAACACATGTACTATGCTTATATCTTAACTGAAAGGGTAATAAAGGTATAGGTAATACATGATATCTTAAATTTAGCAAATGAACTTTCCATTGCACTAAGAGACAATGTGAAATACTGCGATTTGCTAAATGCCACATAATTTGTGCACATTTCTAGATCACTTAATTCAGTATGTGATAGAGGTAATTATATGACTAACATAAATTTATCAGAGGCAAGAATGAAATATGATAATCACTTCTATGCATCCCTGGAATGTGCAGTTTGTGAAGTAGAAGTATAAACCAAGTTGTCAAAGTTGGTTAGTAAAGATGCCTGTCCAATTATATGCATTTCAAAGTTTAGTAAGTCTCCAGCAATGTATTACTGTCATGGTATTTTTTAGTTTGCAATGCGAGACACTCTCGAAGAAAGTTCAGATAAATGGTGAATTATCATGACATTCTGATTCTGTGCAATGTGTTTTTTTTTTCCAAGGCCTTTCTTGTGCTTAAAGTCTCATGAAGTGCCTTGTTCTTGTAGGATGGTTTGATCGCAGCTGTCATTGGCCTAGATTCGCCAGCAGTGCCCAAATGTTTGTTCTGAATTTCTCATTTGTGTATTCTGTTGCCTTCAAGGGTGTGCTTTTCATGAGAGAACCGTTTAAAACGAGTCAGTGATGCCCTATCTTGTTTTCATGTCATGTAACTTGTGTCTTTTGCTCTGCAGGGAGCGAATCAAGAACTGATGGAAGGAAGAAGAGAAGGCCTGAATGAGCATCTTCTAGACGCCATGGGACTCCAGGCGAAGAAAACCATAACCAACCTAAGTGGCAGGGAGTTCGTATGATTTTTGTACGGTGCACTTGAAGTGCATAGTGTACTTGTAGGAGTGTGTTCTCGACCAGTTGGCTCTCGTAGTCTCGTTAGACCATCATGCTGAATTAGGCTTCTGAAGACTATGCTTACTATTTGTACTTATCAAAACATATGCGCGAACTTACTATTTATACTTATCAAAACCTATGTGAGATTTCTATTTATGTGTAATTAGGTTTTGCTAAGTTTTTATTGTCTCTTGAAAAGGGGTTTTGCATCTTAGTTTCCAATCCTATCCCAAACATAGCAAACCAGACTAGGAATGTAAAGCACGTAACCTAGGTAAGAAATTAAATGAGAAAGCTTAAACAAGACAGATGTAAACTCTCGTTAGCGATGATATTTTTCGTATGTATTGAGAAGCTCATGTTTTCCTCTAGTTCTTGTTGGAGCCCCTCGTAAGGACCAAGACCAAAATATTGTGGGTCACTTCTCTTGGTAGAAGCTAGGCAGTCACACCATAAATGAAGTTGATGTGATCGCGCAAGATTATAAAACATAGTGGTGCGCGCAAGCACCGAGTGGCAAGAGGTATGCAAACCTCACTAAACACTAAGCCTAGTTTGGTACAAAGTGCTAATACGGTGGTCTAACTAGCCTAACCATTTCACTAATCACCTAATCTTTTCTTAAGCACTTTTGGTAGAGCACTAGAGATGAGCCTTAACTCACTAGCAACGATCCCCAGCTCCAACAACATCCAAATGGTAGGCCATGGGTGGTATATATAGCCACTAGCCCGCCACCTATAATAATACCATTGGCAATGGACCGTGTCACGACCCGACAATCATTCCATCAACCGTTATTCCTAAGCCTCTAGGAGAAGCTCCCCAAATGAAGGTCAAGCCAAGACAAAGCAAGCTCAGCCAACTTTGGGTGCAAGTTTAGGACAAGAAAGAAGTTGGTTAGAAGCTCCATCAAGGACCAAGTAATTCTCACCAATGAAGGAATATCCTAGAGATCATCTCCCCAAAGTTGAGCATCAAACCAAACTCCAAGTGACTCCACGGGTTGTCTGATGTTTCTTTTCAGACTATCCATCAACCCCTGGTCAACCCTAGTTGTCTGGTCAACTCGATGGACTCTGAGTTACTCCCTCCGGTTCTCTAAAGCAAGTCGTTTTGAGGTTGTCTTAAGTCAAACATTTTAAACTTTGACTACAAATAATTTCTTTTGGGTTGAGTTTGAAAATATGAAAGTGATGTAAGTAGATTCATCTCGAAATGTAGTTTCATAAAAGTATATATTGACTATATTTTATAAATATCTTATAGCAAAAGGTAGCGGTCAAAGTCGTTTCTTAAAGACCATGTCGATGTCCAAAATGACTTAATTTAGAGAACTGGAGGGAGTACTAGACTATCCGACGTTAGTTGACGGACTGTCCGACAAGTGCGCAGAATTTCTACAAACATGTAAATATTGTGTTCACTTCTTAACCTCTAGCCCCACATGTCAGTTAGTGGCTCCTCTCCAAGTCACCAGCATCAGGCCTCTCCCATTTATCACTCACCACTCTCATCCCTTCCCCTCTCTCTATAACCAAGAACAAAGGAAAAAGAGCAATAAAGGAAGTAAGGAAAGAGGGGAGAAATTGGAAGTGAGATCATGCTTGGTGGAGAAGAAGATGAAGATCAAGAAGTTGGTCTTTGGTTCCATCACAAGTGTAAGCTCGAAATTCTCCACTCAATCTCATGATTTCATCCCAATCCCTAACCCCTATGTTCATGCTTGATGAAGGAGCTCCCTCTCCGATCCCTTCACCTCCAAGCAAAGGCATCCTCTTTATGGATGAAAGAAGCTCATGAAGACTAGCATGATCTTGGTAATCTCAAATCTCATCCCCCTCAATCTTGGTCTAGAAATCCACACCTAGAGTGTAACCCTTCATCCACAAAGGCTTAAGTGAGACTCAACCCTAGATTCACAGCACACCCCAAGAAGCCCCCCAGCACACCCTAGGAATACCCTCCACAAGCCCTAGAAGAAATTCCCCAAAACACACAAAGAACATAGGTTTTGTCGATAGTTTGATGATCTGTCCGTTCGTTTTGACAGACTGTACATGAAACTATGGATTGTTCCATGACTCATTCAGTCAACCACGGACTGTTACACTTACGCACAACCAGCCTAGACTTTTTGAACTGTCTGACTCGTCATGACGGGCTATCCTTTCAATTCACACAGAAGCTTTTATCATAGCCAGATTAGATGGACTACATCAAGGGGTTGATGGGGAAATTGATACCACTTGGAAATGCATTTTTTATGGACACCACCTATAAATAGCATCAATTGAAATCTTGTAGGTGAGGGACGTCGCTTATGATTGGGAGATCACTTGTGGATACCACCTATATATACCGCTAGTAAGATGATCTAGACCACCTGTAGGTACTTGTGAAAGCACATTGGTCTAGATACTAATTGATTGTAAGTGTCATCTGTGAGTACCACTTGTTAGGATTTTCCATTGCTATCTTCTTCTTGAACTCTTGTTTTCGTGAGACTCTTTCTCTTTGACTTGCTCTATTGAGTTCCATAATTTTCCAAGTCCAGTTTGAACCCTCTCTAAGTTTCTTCATATGCCATAAGCAGTTATCTCATAGAAGTTGTACTTGTCAGTTGTTTGCAATCTAACCAAATCAAGTACTCGGGTTAACAAGCTCATGAATAATTCATATACTATGTTCCACTAGATCATATAATCTTTGAAGCAATTTTGGTAGAACATGAATTTAAAAAAAATCATTTGTAATGCATGTCCCTAAAGCATAAACATGTACTCTATGCAACCACATACTAGTAAGGGGTGTATGGACATACATCATTACAATGATACCTTTGCTTTCTTAGAGAATAGGATAGTCAATATAATCCAATACATTCCTCCAATAGCAATAGTAAAGTCCAATTAAGAGCTTAGTGAAGATGGAAACCATTTCAATATTTGAACACCCAATTTTCATCCAAATGAAATGAACACCACTTAATATTAAGTGTTCTCTTATTGTGGTTGCAATATTGTCTTGTTGGCTTAATAATGAAATCCACTTGTTTCTCTCTCCTTAGTTGTGGCAGAACCTTCTAAATTATAGGGCCCACATGCACCTGTCACTGTCCAACGACCTTTGACATCTATGCATACGTTCTATGTAACTTAAGAAGACTGTCGGGTGTCCTCGGGGAACCCCGAATCATCCACGATTTCCGAGCAGGATCACATTACAGAGTCATTGCAGTATTACAACAGTTTATTCAAATAGATACATCAGAGTAAAAACAGCGGAAGTCTTATAATAACATAGTTTACAAACTATTTGTTTCAAACCATACAACTAAGTTCGATAATAATACAAACCAAGGTAGTGGAGTGGAATTATAATATAATACAACACACCCAAATAAAGCTGCCCTGTCCAAGGGCCACACATTTACTTATCGTCATCGCATTGAACAACAGTCATGCAGCACGATCCAAAATAGATCTGCTCATGAGCCTCACCTGCAACAAGGGTCAACGAACCATGAGTACAAAAGTACTCAACAAGACTTAACCGAAATAAGAATTTAAAAGAACGTAGGAATGCAGGCTCATGGGATTCAAGGTATGGCTTTAGCAATAATCAAGGTTCTTTTGCGTAAAAGCATTTTAACAAAATTCTTTATATCAACGTTTAAAACTTCATAAAGATCATATACAAAGTTGACACGATCCACATTGAGATCATGAAACCTCATAACCAAGACCTTCACAGACCATCCTCAAGTTCCAGTTATTAATTACTACGATGATGAACAGTGAGTTGAGTCTCCATAACCGAGGAGCAACGACGATTCGAACCGATAAAAAACCCAGCTGGGAATTCCAGACCACATGACATATGCAGGTCCCCGACCTACATATACCAACCTACCATCGGATCCTCTAAAACAAGAACGGGTCCGCGCCACCCGAGAATACAGTACTCCACCAATCCAGCCCATTGCCACGTGGGTACACGCTATTCCCGCCATCTCTCCACTCCTAGTGCGCGAGTAGCTATTCTCATAATAGAATAGCCAAGTTAAGGCTTACCGGAATATGTGGTTAGTACTACAAAGTCTCACCTCATACAATTCAACAACGTACGGACATTAATCGACACAGGTGGAAAGAACCTGCTCACAAGACCTCCATGTCTTGTGGCTCACACACACCGAGTCTGCCTAGTCTAGATTTGTTACTCCACATTCTCATATCACATGTTAACATAATTAACTAAAGTTCCATTTAAAACTTACAGATGACAGGTAATCACCCGACTTTCATCGTTCTAAGCATAGCTAAGCAAAACTGGGCATATACGAATTTAAAACTAGTAATATGGTAAATATGGAATAACAAGGTTGATAATGTACCAATTTAGTTTTCACTTGACTCCTAATCACTTAATGCAGTAAAAAGAAGCAAAAGCAAAATCAATTTGTAAAATACAAGGTAGGGTTGTATGCATCCGGGGCTTGCCTTCGTTGACGGAAAAGTCCGGGTCCAGAGTCGTTCCACCGATATCAACACCAACCACCACTGACGGATCAACTTCCTCAACTACTTGATTAACTACCACGTGTTCACCTTCGTTCACTACACGTAGTAACAATGCCATGTTTAACATGATGCGGAATACGAAACATGATGCTCGATGATGGATGCAAAATTAACAACTTGAATACAACTTTCCTTCGCGGTACAGCTACAAGTTAAACTAACTAAACCATTTTTGCAACACTCACATCCATTGCCAAGGATCATCACCAACTAATGACCCAAAGACATCACTCAATCAAAAACTCAAACAAAACCTAAATCACTAAAGGTTACTATTTGCTTTTATGAATTAATTAATGAATTAAGAATTATGAAATAAATCAACTTGTTCCAATTGACCTCAAATTTTTTGTAAATGTTCATCACATGAAAACTAA